TCGGCGCAAGCACGAGAGCCGAACGGGAAAATGCAAACAGAGGCGTGAAAGCTCTTACACCGATCGATAACCGGGTAACACCGACGTTTGCAGCGAGAAGGCAAAACCTGATTCTCCGGTCCGGTTTTGATGAAAAGTGGTTGACGTTTCGTTAATTGATTTCGATTCGTTTTCACGCTTTTTTCGGGCGAAACTTGAACAGATTCGGTCGCGTTAGTTGACAGATTATCGCGTACAAAGTGATAATAATTACCTCATCGAGCTGTTCAAAAACATTCTAACCTACAAAAAGAGAAAAATGGAATTTTCTCGAAATATTCTGTCACGCTCGTATCTGCAGTAAACCGAACTAAAATATCTGTAACGCGTACTAGAAACGGTGCCGATAACGGGTTTAAACATTTGCTCCTCGAACGTCGTTCATCGTCGAACGAGGAAAAGGCTAGGTTGTCGGTGGTAGGGGATTTCATTCATCGTAGCATCTGTCCGATTCATTAAACCGCCCGATAGATCAAAGGTGTAGCCGCGTATCTGATATAAGCAACCAATTAGATATCAGCTGAAATATTGGCAAGGCTTGTGTATCGTGGCAAGACGACCGTGACGAACGCCGATAACGCCACACATGCTGTTACTTCTATCACGCGTAGGTTTAATTCGAGGCGATTCTTCTTTTTTTTTTTTAACGTTCCGATCGAACGCTAGATTTTCCACGGAAACGGAGTAATCTCCAGGCGAATCCGGTATTTCACGTAGGTTTCGAAATACCCCTCTGCACGTGGAGAGAGAATGAGAGAGAGAGAGAGAGAGAGAGAGAGAGAGAGAGAGAATGCCGCACAAATCTCAATTTGTGCATGCACTCAAAGCAGCCAGCCACACCGACGACGGTTGGCTGTTAGCCGCTGAGGCTCGTACAAACTATAAAGCTTTCTAAATCGGTGCGGCTCACGAAAATAGACTTCCGGTTCCCGTCTCACGCGTTCACTCGCTGCGCCGCGTCTGCTCTCGAGTATGCCAACACCGACCCCCTTTTCCCTCTTTCCTCTTCCTTTCTTCGCGCTTCCACGGAAATCCATCTGAATGAAGGAAACGTGGAAATCGACATCCCTCTCTTAGAACTTCCTCGTCGTTTCGTCTCTCCTCGATCGCAACCTTTTCTTCCAATTTCCCAGATCCTCGATCGCGAGTATATCGATTCGTTCGTATGTTTAATCGGTTTCTTTTGGCAGAAGGTATAATCCGCAGACGTTGAAGATTGATTCGACGTTTCCTGGATTAGGGGTGATTCAACGCTTTTATCCTCGTTATCGCTGCAATCGATCATACTTTTTCCCTAATCTCGAACCGTATCGTACAGGTGTCACGTCTCGATACAACCTACAAACCTTGTATAATCTTCGTCGAGTACCTATCGAACAGCGGAATATGGGGGGAAAAAAGGAGGAAACAATTTTGCTATCGGGTGTCTAAACGGTGCACGTGTTGGTTAATGAAGCTCGTGCAACTCGTCGACGCCGGGTAATCAGTTTTTTCCTTCGAGCGGGGGTAATCGATCAAATCAATCAGACGGAGATAACTTGTTCAGCGGGTAGCGATCAACCGGAGAGGAGATGCTGGTGCATCGAGGTTAATCGCGTGTCCGTTCACGAGGACGATCTTTCGCAGGGAGAGAGAAGGATCGTAGGTAATTACTGTTAAGTCCGGCGCTGTTAGCTCAACATAAATTTCCGTCGTTTCTCTTGTCGGCTCTGTAACCACTTCGTTTATATACACTCTGTATCAGAATACACAGTTGGCTTGCGATACACGCTCTTCGAGTAGGTACATCGGCATGCTTGTTTCGCTTTGCCTCGCCTCGCCTCGCTCCGCGTCGCCTTTACTAAACTTACAATTAGACTCATTCAGAATGCCTGCTTTCGAATCGGCTGTCCCGGGACACCGTGTGTGTGCCGTGGCACACGTTTCTTGGCGACTGGACCGCAAACAAGCGAGTCAGCCTGCGCGACCGTCACTGCGAACCAGAGCAAAAATATTTCGTTCGTGTTTTTCTTTTTAGTTTCTTCACTTGGGGAGCTAACTTGCCGAACACGCCTACTTTGCGCGCCGTAACTAATGAATTGTGACGTTTTTTTTTATACCTTGACCCTTGTGTCGGTGCTCGAGTACCCTTTTGCACATTTTCGCACGTGAAATAGCTGATCTTCCCGGTAAAAGATTTGAATATCCGGCCAGATCGTTGTTTGGTTCATTTTCTATTCGTGTTTGCTTCAAGTTTCGAATTTTCTTGTGCCATTTTCTAAGTTCCACGACGAATTAACTCGTCTTGCACGCTGGAGAAATATTTCGCGATGACGAGTCATTAAAGGGTTACAAATTTATTCAACCTTGGGAAAAATGGAAAAAAATTTCCTTCCAATCTTATTCACCCTCTGAAACTATTACAGTTACGTGTAAAAATTCTCTCGAGCTACCATATCCACAGAAGACAATTAAATGCCCTGTTCTACGCGAACCACGCTATATACACAATTTATTAATTAATTTTTGCACTTGACTGGAAAGTCAGGCAACCCCAAAATGCACAGCGTCGAGTAACAACCGTTTCCTCCGACACAAAACGAGCAGATTTCGTCCGAAACGGTGGTGCAGCGAAAGGGTTGAAGTATAAGGCGTATACCAGGCAAATTGATACAAGTTTGTAACCGGTGTCGTAACAACAATCCATTTTCCACGCGTTTCACGGCAACGTCCGATGTCGTAACGGGCTAATTAGTACGGGAAGGGAATATTTTGAAGTCTCCACTTAGCGGAGCGGTCGCTTCCGGACGGGAAGAGTGACGCTAATCACCGGATATATCGGGCGACAAACGTCGGTATTAATCAGTGGCCGTAGCTCGCTACCGGTACCCGAGTATCTGGTATCCGCGTATCGCCACACGATACCAGACCAGAGATAACGAACCAGCACCGAGAAAACTGCCAACTGGAGAATGGAGAAACATGGAACGTGGGATGCTCGGTCGCGTTCAACGAGTGAAATAGTTCGCTTCTAAAATATATAAGCTTGTTAACGTTGCTAAACTCCACTTCAACTATTCCAACGTTCCGGTCTTCAAGTAACAGGATAAACTGTTCTTTTTTTATTTAAACCCTCCTTTTCCCATGGATATCTTCCCACGTGTCTCTCCAGAACGTTTAACAGGGGAAACAAAAAATGAGAAATAATCGTCAATGGGGTAGCCCACGCGACGTCTTCTTCTACGTCGTCGTCGTCGTCGTCGTCGTCGCCGCCGCGAATCCTCGCCAAACGCGTTTCCCCTCTTCCCTCTCTCCCCTCGAAACGAGACGTTCCACGGTTTTCCCAGGAGTTGAAGTTAGGATGGGAAAAATGAGCAAACCTGTTTACTCGAAGTCGCATTGCGAACGGAGCTCTCGCGAGATCGTGGAAGGTGTCGCGCGAATTAATCCCAAAGTGAAAAGATCATTCGAATCTATAGAGATGAAATACCTAGGAGAAAGAGGTGTCGCGTGGAAAAGAGTAGGAAGGGAAGGATCGTTTCGGAGAGGGCGTACTTTCTCGTGTGCAATTATGCACGTGTACGTATATTATGTATGGTAATGCGTGCGCTGAGGACGCGGAGAGTGTCGAAAATCGGACGATCGCAGCACCATAAAAGTAACGAGGGAAGATGAAGGGGACGAACGCGAGCGTGTGTGTAGGCATATTGCTCTTTCGGCGTGGGTTTCGAAATACATACACGGCCAGGCATATTCGACCGGTCATTGTCCATCGATCGACACCGTGCTTCTGCTTCCTTCGACCTGTGTGCCTCGCTTCTCTCTCGGCCAATCTCCCCCCCTCGTCCACTTTCTTCCTCGCTCTTTTGTCCCAGGAAATACGAATGTTATCTACAAATTTATCCATTCGTCGAACTTGACGAAGTTTTGTCAACCTAAGAACGTACCTTCTAAAGTGTCGAAGTAGCTGTATCAACCGCGGTAACTAAGTCCCATCGACGAACGCTCGCGAATGCAGTGTGGCGATAGGTTAGCGAAGGCAGTGGTTAATTAGCCATAATTACAGGCGATTCTTTGGAAAGGATAAGTGGCAATCTGTGCGTGTCTCCAAGCAGAGTTGCGTCCGGGTTTATCGCCCACTTGGCGCTCTTGCAGCTGCAGGTGTGTTACGGCAATAACGCGACTCTAAACGACATGCTCGAGCTTTCTTGCCTCTACACACCGTTCTATAGGGTGTTCTTAATCCAAACGTAGTACTCCTCCAGGATCTTCGCTTATCGTCTCCTCCTCTCGATCCTGGATCTCCCCACACTTGTTCGATATTCCACTCGTATTTTCTCCCGATCAACGGTTATTTTTTCTACGCTCTGCCGTGTCGGTGGTTAACGTCGAAAATTGTGGAAAAACTTGGGGATCACTGCGTGTACGACAGCCCACAGGATCCAGCGTCCTACGTATCCGCGTATCTGCCTACTCGGTCCACCGATCCTCGCCGGTATTCACAGCGAAAACGTACCTACGTCCGAGTCGGCCCTGACGACGTGCAATGCTCAGGTACTCGGTTTTCTCTCGACTTCCGGTCGCAGAAAGGAATGCATAGGCGGAGCTATACCCACGCAAGGAGACACACGCCGATCGAGGATGGAAAAAAGACACGGCGACAGCGGGTACAAGCTGCGGAACGGGCTGCTTTCGTACGCAACCCGTGAAAAATTCACCGTGACTTTCGAAATCCTCTGCTGTCGCGCCCGCCATCGCGAATCACCCATTCTGCACGGTCCTTTGAAGGACGCCTGAGTAGAAGCTGGATGCATAAACTTTCAAATTTAAACGAGAATATTGCGCGAAGGTGGAGAGAGGAAGTTTGCATTTTTCTCGGGGGATTTCAGGAGGAGAGCTGTTTAACGTACAGCGCTTCAGAAGAAGATAGAAAAGAGTTGGAAATCTCTCGTGATAATAATTCTGTTATCTTGATATTGCAGTTCGTGGATCTAGGCATGGTGACGAGTGTAGAGTACAATCACAAGCCTGTAGAATCCGCGAGAAAAGGTCAAGAGGTTTGTGTGAAGATCGAGCCGGTTCCAGGAGAAGCGCCGAAAATGTTCGGCCGTCACTTCGACGAGAAGGATTTCGTCGTTAGTAAGGTAAGCTGTTGATACTGTAGTCCATATATCCTTCATTTTGTTCGGTCTAACGCGACAAGCGTAACAATTCTACTCTGTATTATAGATAGTTCCAACATTGAAATCCAACAAATTCACCTTTCAAATTTTCCCAGTCGATCTTTGTAATTCCAAGGATCTCCGAAACGATCCACAAGTTACACGTTTAAAATGCAACGAAAGTGCAGCGTGCAAGGAGGACGAGACTTAGCCTAATCGTGTTGCTACGACGAAAATAAAGAACGATTAAGAAGGCGAACGTTTCAGCGTTTCGAGAAGCAGCTGCTTCGAAGGAATTCGATCGACAGGTGGTCTGGCTCGTTGATGAAATTCTGCTAGAGAACCGAGAACGTACACATTTTCGCCCTCCCTCCCTCACCTTCCATTTGTGGCGGTGGACGGTCGATTCGCATAGGTTTGCAATTTCATCAAAATCAGAGGCATGCGAGACGGAAACGATCCTTATTAGTATGCGAGACTCTGGTCGAAAAAGGAAGATGCACATCCGGCAGCGATCAGGCGTCCACCGTCGACTTCCGGCCTTCGCAGAACCTCCATTCCTTTTTCTTCCTTGCCCCCCCTCTACGCCTTCTTTTCCGCCTTCCGCTTTGGATATCGACTACGAATCGATCAGACTTCTGCTTTAACGGTAGCGACCATATTTGTCAACGGTTCCTGTCTTTCGTTGAAAAAAACCACTCGGATGTCCTTTCGTTGGAGATTTCACGGAACCGAAGAGACACGTTGGAAATTGATGTTTAGTTAAATTTAAGAAAAAGATTTACTGTTGCAGAAATTCTCTGCGTTTGAACAGTGTCAACTCTTCTCTTTCCTGCGGCTCTATCTGCGCTTTCCGGTTGTGCACGCGCACTCAGAGACATTTGTACCAGCACTTTATGCGTGCACGGCATCTTTGTGTGTGCTCCCAAGGCGAGCGGAAGTCGTCGTTACCGTTTGCTTCGTAGAATCGATTCCCCGGAATCGCCTTGTTCCCACGATGATTTGTGGAGCGACGATTTCGCGTTACGCCGAAATTCGCGTTTGCCAGTCTCTCTCTCTCTCTCTCTCTCTCTCTCTCTCTCTCTCTCTCTCTCTCTCGCTCCACCTCCCCTCGATTTCCTTTCTTTAGCTTCTACGATTCGTGTTGAGTTTCGGCTAAGTTTAGAGCCACCGCGGGGAATGCGTGGTGCTAGAGGGTACTCAAAAGTCAAGGGGTCGACCTCCAATTGACGTCGTGAAAGAGTAAAAAAAATATCTTTCAATCGAGCTAACCCTCAATTTGTATCCGTTAATCTCTACAATTCAAACTTTCCTAAAAAAAAAAAAAAAAAAAAAAGAACTACACCATCTCTGAACGTATCCATCTATCGAACTCGTCGTCACCGGTCATCTGGCCGCAGGTAAACGTGTGTGTGTGTGTGCAAAGGTTCTCCGAGAAAGGAGAGGATCCTTTTGCCAACTGTGTAACGTTGTGCAGAGAGGTAGCGGCAAAGAGGCGGAGGGGGACGTGGAACAAGGACGAAGCTACGAGACAGAGAAGGAGAGGCAAAGAATTCTGCGGAGGGAGAGCTGCGTAGTGTGTGCGTGTGCTTACGCGAGAGCGATAGAGAGAGAGGGAGGGGGGAGAGCGAGAGAGAGAAGGAAGGGAAAGGGAGAAATGGAGGGGGTTGGAGAGAGGGAGGGGGTAGTAAGAGGGGCGTGGCGGGAGGCAGGCGTCCTCAATAGCCGCGTAAAACCACCATTGTGACCGATCCATGAATGAAACGGGACTTCCGGCCGGGAGTGGGGGCGGAAACAGTTGTAAAGCGTTACGTTAGTGAATGGACCGTGTGCGCGAGCATGCGCTTGTCCTCGCGAAAACCGATTCAAGGAAATTACTCCTAGACGAGGAGCGCGATTAAAACGGTCTCTTTCTGCGTTCGACTTAACGTGTACACCCGACCATTTCCCTCTTTTCTCCACCTTCTTCTCGATGCACACCTACTACCGTGCTGTCGTTGAACAGTTTCTCTCGACGCGATAGAATTCTCGAAGGATACAGCGTGTTAAAAAGGAAATAGTCTTCGATTTTCTTCGAAATCGACGTTCTCTCTTCGAATCGGACAGAAAAATTTTGTCTATGAGAAAGAGAAAGATGGAATTTGAATTGTGTGTGTTACAGATAAGCAGACAGAGTATAGACGCGTGCAAGGAGTACTTCAGGGACGACCTGGTGAAGACCGATTGGCAGCTGATGGTCGAGCTGAAGAAACTCTTCCAGATACTCTAGGATTTGCTGGAGCTGGCGGAAATGTTGAAGATCCATCGACGGCTCTACCGGCTGACAAGCAACGAAGCGAATGCTGCGATCATAGGGCGCTCGACGGACCACTTTGGATCATCGTCGGTGTCGTCTGATCGTTGTCGATCGTTTTTTCCATTTGTAATATATATGTCGAACTTCTCGATTTTTCTGCCGTTGTCTTTGATACACGCAAAACAATCGTGGCACGCCTCGCTTCATCCTATGATCCCTCGATAAATCGCCTTCGATCGGGTTCTCCTTGTGTTACACACACATACACACAAATAGACATACGCGATCGCGCACACACGAGAAAAATCTCCCTTCCTATGGAAAATATAGCCGAAGAATTGGGCGCAATCCCCGAGGAAACCGTAGTTGAACGCGGCGTAAACGGTGTTTCTTTCGGTTAGAAGCTTCTAAACGAACGAACTGGATTTTTTCAGGCGGATAAACGATTTAGAAAGAAAAGAAAATGTGTTTGTCAGGTCCATCGACAAATTCGATATACGAGAAATCAAACGTAATCATTGTTCCAACGTAGACTACAAATGATCACGCTGTAGCATGGAAGATTATTTTTAATAATTACGCGAGAACGGTTAGAAAAGTGCCGTTTCCGTAACGAACACGACGAGCATGATTCGTCGTTAGATTCTATTGGGAAGCTTTTCGCAGTAGGTACTTAACGAATATACGGAGAAAAGGAACGAAAGCCGAAACTAAAATCCACCGAATAGCTGAATTGTGTTTAACGTGTACAGGTTGAGTGTGTCGTTTTTAGCAGACCGTGTCTTAGCCAGCCACAGAAGTAACTTCTCGACTGTAATGGGATCGAGGTGTCACGGATAAAGCAACTGGAAGTTCTCGCGGTAGCAGCTTCGATAACGTGTACCGTACCGGGAATATTTTCGAAATGAATCGACGTGTACGAGGGAAAAGAGAAATTGTTACCGATACGTATATTTCGAACCATCTTCGTACGCGGTGAATGAAATTTGAACGAAGAGAGAGAACGAATACGAAGTAGAATTAGAATGTACTACTGTGCTTTCCTATCTAGGATGCAAGAGTTCGCTACGTCTCGAAATCCTATAACAGACGTTTGGAAGAACCAGATGGAGGGATAAAGAGAGGAGGGGCCTTGGAACAATTCTCTTTACGATGCGGCGAAGAATACGCGCGAGAAATAAGCGTGTAGTGGGTCGGTGATCGCACTCGACAGCCTTGAGAACCGCAGAACAAGAGGCGAGAAAAAAGGGAAGTCCTCGGCGTTTCCCTAGTTTCCGGCCATCTTCGATCCCCCTAAACCCTCCCCCCTTTTGAACGAGAGAGCCGTGGCGTCGACGAGTGAACGAGTTTCGTCCGATACTACCTCGTGTATGCGGTTTGCGCGAGGCGAACAAGGCGGTAGCTGTTCGAACGAAAAGGGACTTCCGTCTTCTCTCTTTCTCCTCTTCCCGCGGATGATTCGACCGCAACCATTCCCCCCTTCGTTTTTGCCATCGATCTTACGCCACACGCTCCGGTTTTCTTGCGACCGAGCCTCGTCATTTTTCGGACCTGCTTGCCGCCTAACCTCGTACACCTCTGGCGAAACAGAGAACCGCCAATTTGAAACGAAACACGTCGACGACTACGTCTTCTAATTTCATCCCGTTTCGTAGAATTCTGGTACAATTTGAACATTTTTTTTTGTTTCGAGCGAAAGAAAGAAGTGCAATCTTTGAACGACGTTGTTAAATTCGTAATCTCTGATTTTGTAGAGAGAGAGAGAGAGAGACGGAGACAGATCTGCAAATGGAATTGTGCAATAAGAAAAGATAGAAATGACGATCGGGAGTAATAGTGTCGCGAGAGAGCGATCTAATCTCGAAAGTCGGGAACGACCACCACCTTTGACACCTGTAGTATCAGCGTTCCAGATCAAGGATGACCGTAGTTTCCTTGTTGTAACGTTTCATTCGGAACGCGTTCACAGCTAGACGCTGGCGCGTGTGTTTACCAGGAAAAATTGAAAGATAGGAGAAACGGTAATAATTGAAGCGACGAAAATTTTGTCACCAGTGGCAAACTCGTGTGAGCGTCGGTTTATATATTCACGATCGATTCGTGGAAGCGACAGCGTGTCCCGCATACAGTTTCCGACGTGTTTCCGGTGGTTTCGTCGTTTCAGAACACACGTGCGAGGAAGAGAGGAAAGAGGGACAGAGAGAGAGGAGTAGGTGTAGATACGTGGACGCAAGCAAGATAGCGAGTGAATGAATGAGAGAGAGTGAGAATGAGAGAGAGAGGAGCAAAAAGGTAGAGTGTTATTACGTTTAGAAGAGAAGAGGGGAAAAAAAGAAACGATATACGAGAGCCTCGTGCGTTTTGTATATGTACTCACTTTGTATAAGATAATCGAGCGAATTATCGCGATAAAAATAAAGACTACAAGTTTCACAAGAAAAGAACGATTGACCAGACGCTTGCACTCGAGTGTATCAGCGTAACCTTCTTCCTGTTTTTGTTTTCGCCACTCGGATTATGCGTGTATTTAGTATACGAAGACCCAAGTGTCGCGAGGTTTCCAACGGCTGCATCAGTCGTGATCTTTTCCGCGCTTTCTCCTACACTCGAGCAAAAATCTTCCACTGTCGAAGACATACACATGTAGCTCACAGGTGGAAGAAGAAACGAACTGTACGATACCGAGGAAGAAAAAAATTCCGAGCGAAATATCAGGCGGTACATACAACGTGTAACGCTGAAACTTGGTTGTCGAGCGGGAGGAGACCGCGGGGCGATCAAATACCGGAAGGCAAGCGAAGTACGACCGCCGAATCAGGAATAGGTACTTAAAATTCCCCGGGGAGATACCATGTCTTATTAACTTTTTAATGGCAGGTATAACTGTTCCGCTTCCTTCTCGCCGGGTAGATCGGTAGGTAAATTTGAAACATAATTAGCGAAGGAACTCGAAACGAGGCTGTATCGTCGTTTTGCGCGCGGCGTGCACACAGGAAATGCAACCATGGCGAAGAGCCGGGGCGCAATGCACTCGCCTTCCTTTTCTTCCGTTCCAGCCTTCTCTCTCTCTCTCTCTCTCTCTCTCTCTCTCTCTATCTATCTATCGATTCCACGCCGTACACGTATGGACGTGTCGTCCCTCCTCTCTTCTCTTCTTCTAATTCTAAGCCTGTTTTCGTCATCGAATCTACGGTGTGTCTTGGAGGCTCTTCCAACTGGAACTTATGTAAGTCGTTTAATCGGTTTACCGATGCGGTCGCCTCTACACGCATTTATTACACGCATTTACTACACGCTCGCTCGTGTATACGCGCGAGCGTAAGTGTGCGCGCTCATTTCCTCCACTCTCCTCTCTCTTCCCTACCCTCGACGCTCCTTCCCCTCGCCGATACCACACTGCCCTCCCGAGTCATCGATACCGCCTGTTATAGTTGTTAAAGGAGATAGAAACCAGCCTCTGGTACGAACAAATTTACTTCTATCCGTTTCTCCTTTCCTCCAATATCCTACGATAGAATTAGAAATTTCCTCGAGATCTCCTCCGTCTCGATCGATCAGTTCAACCAACGTCACGCCAAGTTGAGTAATTCGAGGCAAAAAGCAAACTTTCGATTTACAACTCGCGCGAACCAAGATTGCTAAATTAATCGAATTTCGAAAGAACAGGAAGTGAGGAAATACCCACTGGCGATAACTTAATTCCCCGCGACCTTGAAAACAAGCGAAGAAGTAGGAGAAGGTGGGCGCGATCGAAATCGGTCGGTTCGAATCTTTTCCTACGCGAGTCGGAAAATATGTCGTGTCCTTGCTGGGAGCAACCGAGATCACCAAGTCGGCACGCCAACCGGCGCTCAATGAACACACGTCATTTTGAGTCATTCATGCATCTGCAGGTTGTCCTCGCGCGACTGTACGCAACACACGTGGCTGCGTGTGCGTTAGCGTTGGGAATGATGACATCGCAACCGGGTGTATCGATAGTTTCACTGCAAAACTCGTCTCTCTCACCTGCGTTCACACTCGTCCTCGACTCTATCGAACGCGATTCGAAATCTCCGCCGATTCACCGATCAACTTGTCGCTGGTTCTTCAGTCGTACGTTCCTACTATCACAGTGTTGTGATACGTCCACGGAAAGTAATTACATAATTTGTTTTCCACAAATTTGTCATTTATAAACTACGTCCGATTTCTAGCTGTGCGAACGTTTATTCGTTCGTTTGCCACTTGTTCCAACGTTGCGCGCTTCGTAAATATTCGTTTTCAAG